GGGTGCACCCGGGGCCGGCGTTCGGTGGCGTGGGGCTGGCGTTTGGTAGCGTGGCACCGGGCGCCTGGCTCTGACGGCTGGTTTTTAACTAGGCGAGGGCTCCGGAATCTCGCTCCCGGTGCTTGGGTGCCAGCGTGGCCTTCGCCGGAGAGTGCTGTCATGTCCCGGGCGCTGCCCCAAGCGCTGGGCGCGGGGCGTTTTCTGCGCTCCCATCGAAGGGGTTGCCTGTCCCCACGAGCACTGTCCCTTATCGCCAGGCGGTCGTGGTTCAAACACCGAGACGCCTTGGGTTATGTTGTTCACAGGCGACGCAGGCGGAGGTGCTTTATTTTCGGTGGTGGACGCCTCTGACGCAGGAGGGCTGCGTGGCTGGTCACGCGCCTGCGTTGCTGTGGCTGCAGCAGCCCCTGCGGTGGACGAGAGCCTTCCTGGGCTGTGGGTGCGCAGGGGCAGGATGAGCTCCGCGCTCTGAAGAGATCAATGTCTAAACATAAAATGGGATGTGTTGGGATACGGACACACGGAAAGCACGAGGAATTTATGGGGCAGTACTGGTTCGTGTGGCGGGCTTCAGTCTCGCTACGACAGCAGGGCGTCTGCCGTTCGTTGGCGGATGTCGTTGCAAAGGGGAGCTTGTGTTAAGGTTTTGGATGGCTCAGCAGCTTTTCCTCTATTATTGGCCTCATATTTGTGGCTCTTGGGAGACAGAAATGCGACTGTGCTCCTACCAGCAGTGCTGGAACAGGAGCTGGAGCTGAGATTCGCTCTGGCTCTTGCACCAGGTACAGGGCTCGAATTTGCCTCTCGTCTGCCTGCCCGCCGCGCTGAGCGGCGCTGAGGTCTGTAACCGAGAGCGAACTTGGAAGAGGAGGGAGCTGGCACGGGGGTAACTGGGCAGATCAAGTTCTCCTTGCAATCCTTCCACTTCTCAGGCAAGAATAGAAAAGAACCCAGGCTGGCTTTCGGGTCACCCGGGGGTGGATGCGTAGCCTGGGTTTTAATTAAAAAAGTCTTAAACTCGGCAAATGCGATCCGAGTCACCCTGACACAGCCAAGGCCGAACCCTCCGGCGCTGTTTTTAGAACTCCTTTTCTGAACGCCAGTTTGGTGGAAGACTCAGCTGCTCATAAATCAAAAGTGAAGTGATTCCGTGGGGCGGTGTGTGTGTATGTATAAAATACCTGTATAAAAACCACACTAAGATGGCATTTTGCTCCTCCTGAATAAACGGTGGGAAGTTTTCTGTAGTTTTTTAAGCTTCCTTCTCACTTTCTTGAGCTGGATGAGCTGTTTGCATTCCAGCCGCTCGGCGCGTGGGCCGTTTGTTCTCCCGGATTTCAGCAGAAAGCCTGAAGGTTTTAAACTGAATATTCCTTGGCCTTTGTATGACAGTTTGTCTGTAATGATGAGCTTGGGCAGCTACCAGACAATCATGGGTCCCAATAAAGCTATGGCTGCAAAGGGCCCGCAGGCTGGCCGGCGTCCCTGGGGCAGAAGGGTGCTGCAGCACCGGTGACTCGTCCGGGACGGGGGATGTGTGCAGATCTGTCACGTTTGCCATTGTTTTTGCAGGTGAATGAAGATTGCCCCAAAGTTGGGTGAGAGCGACCTTGATGTGTGAAGTATGTCCCAAGCTGGCGTAGTTCGGTCTCCCACACGAATACACGTCTCGAGATCCTCTGGCTTGGATTGGTGAACACGCAGGCAGCTCTCACGGTACGTGTCACTGCCTAAGAAATACCTTGGTGCCCGGGAGGGGGCTGTGCTGGTCCCTTCCCCGGTGTCCGGACCCTGCTCTACGCACTGCCTGTGCCTGTCCTTGCCCTCGAGTCGTCTGTTCAGCACCCAGGGTGCGAGGAGGTCTGCGAGACCCGTCCCTACTTGGGACACGTGGTGCCCTTTTATAACCAGAACTTTTCATTCTTGGTGAATGGAATTCAGTCCAGCTGGTGGCCGGGCACAGGCGGCGTCGTCCCCCAGGGCTCAGTGCTGGGGCCAGTTCTGTTTAACATCTTCATCCATGACCTGGGCGAGGGGATCGAGGGCACCCTCAGTCAGTTTGCAGATGGCACCGAGCTGGGCGGGAGTGTGGATGTGCTGGGGGGAGGGGGGCTCTGCAGAGGGACCTGGCCAGGCTGGAGCCATGGGGCCAGCCCAGGTGGGTGAGGGTCA